TGGGGATTTGTTATTGAGAGCCATGAACCCTCCTAGCCTTAGTCAAGTTCAACTCTTACTCTTGTCTTCCTGTCGCTTGGCCAGCAGAACTCTCCGCAGCAACTGCAGGTGGGTCATGACCAAGTTCTCTCTTCAGCCTTGGTGGGGCACATCAGCTTCCATGGCTATAAATTGAGGTTAGACTCAATTATTTCAAAGATGTGCTCTAGGTGAACGATGACGCGTCTATGATCTTTTCCTAAGGAAAGTTGTCTACTGAAGGTGGGTAAGTGTGGCACAGGGGACAGGAATCAGTTGATAGGGTCTCCATTTTACAGCTGAGGCTCTTTAGGCCCAGAGATGGTAGTCAGTTCTCCCAAGTCACATGGTGGGCGGGTGGCACAGTAGGGACAACAGGCCAGCCCTCCTGCCTGTTGTTGAAACTCCTAGCAGACTCTCATTCAGCTATGCTCATTTTAACTTCTAAGCACAATTGCTTGTGTTTCATAGGGAAATGTAGAGGGCGAATAATTGTGAATTTTTGGAGTAGCAGATTTCATGAATACATTTAACTCAGCTTTATTTAGGCACACGGTTTCCTCACTCAGCTTCTCAATTTGGCAGAAATGAACATGCTCATTGACAGACTCCAAGGTATAGCCTCTCAGGAGCGTATGCAAATAAGAAGTAAAAGTATATAAAGGAAAACGATGCTTAATCATCAGTATTTCAATATTCTGTCTTAGAAATTATCTATTGACTGCCCTTTAATAAACTCAATATGATGTCAGTCCAAGGTTTTACATTATCAAAAAATCCTGAAAATTATCTTTAAGCTGACCTACCATGAATCTTTGTGAGTATAGAAAAACAAAGTTGTTAAAACAGAGATTCAGTTTGGTTAGCAGTAAATTTATGTATTTCATAATATGAAACTTAGAATAGATATAATACTAGTTTATGTGATCAGTATAAATTTACCTAAAAAAACATACCTAAGTAGTATATAAATGTTCACTCGCATTATACTTAACATATAAATAAAAGAAGACTTAGTTATTTTCATTAAACCTACAGTATTAAAGTAGCCCCGTTTGTCAAAGATTTACATAAATTAGGTGAATTTGATGTCTTAAGAGTGCTGCAAGTTGGTTTCTGCTAGAATATATATGATTGAAGTGTAGCTCATTTAACGTATCATAGTTCAATTTACTTATTATCAAGGAAATTTGGAAATGTTCCATTTAAATAAGTAATTACATATGCCAATCACAGCCGAACTTCATGAATCTTAGAGCCTTTATAATCGAATAGCATTAATATCCAGAGGTAGAAAAACCTTAGACACTCACGCAGAAGTAAAGGCATTTCTGAATTACAGACCCACAGACGTACATGTAGAGAGAAATAGAGCTTTAGTTTTACAATTCAGCCATGGGCAGGTATAAACCCAGACACCAAATCTCACCAGACCATATATGTAAAAGCTGTTGCCATCCCACGCGTTATGAAATTCTGAATTGGTTTGAATGGACAAATAGACGAAGAGTGAAAAAAC